TGCTTTCTATATCCTTTTAAATTCTGTAAAATCTGTGGTAATGTCTCCTAGATCTTGATATTGTAATTTAAAAAATGTATAACTGATATTGTGTAACAGGAAGAAAAGGTCTAAAAGAGGGGAATTGGGAGGGGTAGGGGAAGGGAAAAAAGAGAAAGGAAAAACTGAGAAGAGGAAAAAAATGGAAACAAGGTCTTTGCGTATAGGGAAGGGGGGTGGAGGGGGTGAAGGGAGGGCAAGGAAAGGGGAAAAAAAGAACCAAGAGACTCATGTAATGGTACAAGATCCCAATGATGAATATAACTGTATTTTATACCAAAAATGTACCAATAAACTTAATGGGGGGGGAATATTTGCTGCAATGTGACCTAATTTTGTGAATTGGATTATCATTTATTCAGTGGTCAATTATTAAATATTATTTGATAAAGGGTGTGATGATTTCTCATACAGTTAAAGAGGTAAAAGAAGACAGGATTTTAAAAAGACTTTCTAGCTTTAAGGAGGTCCTGGTTTTAGTAAGGAAGACAGACATTACAGGTTAGAATAAAATAAGGTTTATGTAAGGGATAAATATAGATCTCCAAAGCATTTCTTTCTGGTAAGTGGTTCAGAGTACATTTTTATATTTTACTACCTATTTTATTAGGAATCTCTGTATTCTGGGTGGTAAAACAATATTTACAATTTTGGTTAAATTTTAATTTAATGTGTATTACATCTGTGCTGGTAGTTTTCAATTTTTTTGGTTTTAGAATCCATTTACTCCCTTAAAACAACTGAGGGTATATATAGTAGGTGTCTTAGTTACTTCTCTTGTTGCTGAAACAAAATACCCAATGCCCAAAGTTAAAGGAGAAAGGTTTATTTGGCTCACAGTTTGTAGAGATTTCAGTCCATAGTTAGCTGGCTCCAAGGCAGATAAAACATTGCAGAGGAGAAACAGTTCATGGCATGCAAAAGGTAGCAAAGCAAGCAAGGGACCTTAGGAGCTTATTTCTGCCCCTTTTATATTCCATCGAGGCCACTGGAATTAGGGTGGTGCCAAACCAGTCAGTGGGCTGATTTACACCCTTTAATCCAGCATTGCACCATGAATTAGTCACACACTCTAGATCCAGCCACCTCTGAAAAAGTCCCACCAATGACCACATGAGGCTTTGGGGGACATCTAGACACAAGCCATAATATTTTGCCTCTGGCCCTTCAGAAACTCATGCATGTCTTTTATGCAAAAGGCATTTAATCCATCTCTAAGAGTTGCCAAAGTCTTAACAGTTTCAGCATTGGTGAAAAGTCCAAGCCCAGAGGCTGAGATTTAAGGCAAACTCTTAGCTGTAAGCCACTGTACAAATGAAAAGGAAGTTAAACACTTCCAATATTCAATGGCGTGAGATAGATGTTTCCATTCCAAAAGGTACAAAGAGGGGGATAGAAAGGAATGGGAACAGAGCAAGTCCAAAATCCAGTAGGGCAAATGTTAATTCCTGTAGTTCCGTGTTCAGCATCTGATGTGAACTGTGGCAAATTATAAACTCCAGAGGACTTATGGCACTTCTGGTGGTTGTAGCTCCCACAGCTTTGCTCTTGGGCCAATTCTGCTCCCTCTGCTCAGCTTTCCTCAGACGATCCACATTCCTGGCTTCTTCAAACTTCTGGGGTCTCCACTGCACCCTCGGCTTCACACTCACAACTTCACACAGTGCCCTCTTAGGGGCACACAGCTTGGCCTCCTAAGTGAAATCTTGGTGGGGCCCTGGGATGTACCTCAGTGATGCAGCGCCTGCCTGGCAAGCACAAGGCCCTGAGTTT